GGACTGACGGCATGAGAGCTGCGAAGGAGTAGAATCAGGAGGACAGAGGGAAGGCAGAAAACTGAAGGATGACTTCCAGGTTCTGGTTTGGTTTATTAATGGTGGTGTTCAGTTAGGTGAAGAATCCAGAAAGTAGAACAGGTTTGAGAAGAAACTAGGTTGTTGGTGACCACATTGAATGCAGGGACTTCAAAAAATTCATGAAGTGGAACCAGCAGTTAGCGTAATGGCTATGTCGCTGGACTCCCACGTAGTCGACCGTGGTTCGTGTCCCGGACCCGGTGGCTTAAAACTCACACCGGGCGCGTGTGCGTGCGTGCCCAAGATCCCGAGAGGAGAATGGAGGAGAAGGGATTGCGGCGTGACCATCCCCCGGGGGGTGATTTCTCGCTTTCTATCTCTATGTCTCTCTCTGTCTGTCTGGCGAGCGCACGCGCCCTACAGTGAAAATCTCTCAAAAAAAAAAAAATTCACGAAGCAAAAGTAAAGTACATATTTATTTTGGTGCAAAAAAATTTAGAAAGACATGCATAATTTTTCATAATAGGCGTTTTCTATGAACTTTTGGAAGACTCTGAACTTTTTTTGTTTTTGATTTGCCAGGGGGTGTTTGTGCTCAGAGTGATGGGAGATTGGGCTGAGAGGGTGAAAGCACTCCCCAGTGGGTTGTGGTCATGCAGACCCCTTCTTCGTTTTTCCGTCCTCTGGGATTATGGGCTTGTACTCGCACATGCCCAGCATATTTTTCACTCCACTGGGACCGTTATTTAAAGTATATAGTCTGCCACAGTTGGTCCTCCCTCCTCAACTGCTGGGCCACAGGTCCCGCCTTAACCCCTTATGCTTTTAAAGAACATTTGGAACACCCACGTCCATTGGGCAATTGGATTATAGTTCTGAAGTTTAAAACTGAATTCTGGGCTTGGAGGTATAAATTCAGATGTATTATCACTTAATTGGACAGGAGATCACCCTTCATACTTGTTTAGCATGGACAGCAGGGAGAAAGAAACAATGGGATGTTTCTCACCTTGAGGTCCACTACCTTTATCAGGTTGTGTTGACAGAGAGATGGACTTGAAAGTAAAAAGTAACTCATGGTTATATCAAGTCATGCTAAGTTGTAACTTCTCTGACAGTTCCAGGAGGGTCAGATGGTCCAAGTGGAGTCCTGATCTGCTCTGAAAACTATATCACCTACAAAAACTTTGGTGACCAGCCAGACATCCGATGCCCAATTCCTAGGAGACGGGTAAGGTCTTTGTTTGCATTAAGAGAAGAGGTATTTGTGTTTGTTAAATGGATTTAATTTTCGTAATTACAGTTGTTGTCTCGGTTTATCTGTTACTAAGCTTTATTTTCTTTGTAAGCATTATTTCTAATAAAACTGGTGACATATTTCAGTAAAAGCAAAACAAATTCTTTGAGAAAGAGAATGAAAACTGTTAATTTCCACTTCAGAGGAACCTAAGGACAGTAATCAGTTTGGAATTCGTGAAAGTTTTTAGATAGGAGAAGCTATGCATATTTATTGGCAGTAGATTATCTTTTATTTTGTTTGCTCTTTTTCTCCCATTTCCACCAAAGTTTTATTTTGAAAAATTCCACCATATGGAAAATGTAAAAACAGCAGGACAATGCATTCCTGAATGCCCTTCACTTGGATTCACTGCTTATGTCTTTTCTTCCTCAAGATGTACTTAAGCACTTTTGTAGGCTAAATAATTTTTTTTTTAAGAGAGGTTTTCGCTATAGGGCGTGTGCGCTCGCCAGACAGAGAGAGACATAGAGACAGAAAGTGAGAAATCACCCCCCAGGGGGGATGGTCACGCCGCAATCCCTTCTCCTCCATTCTCCTCTTGGGATCTTGGGCACGCACACACACGCGCCTGGCGTGAGTTTTAAGCCACCGGGTCCAGGACGTGAACCGCGGTTGACTACATGGGAGTCCAGCGACATAGCCATTACGCTAACTGCTGGTTCCCTAGGCTAAATAATTTGAAAGTAAGTTGCAAGCATTTTGACACTACATTCCAGGTATTTAAGATGTGGCTCTTCAGAACCAAGGACATTTTCTTAGTAACCACACTGCTGATATCAGGACTTGGGATATTTAACATTTTGTGTAATAGTTATAGTTTGTATCCCTATTTCTCTCATGTTGAAAAATTTCTTCATAATTTGTCTTTAGTCTTTAATTCAGGACATTTCCGCTCACCTTTTTTGTTGTAGTCTTTTATGATACTGACATTGTTTGAGTCCTAGCTAATTTTTTGTAGTCTGTCCCACAGTCTGCTTCCTCATGATTATAACGGGGTTAAAGTTTTCGATAGGATTATTGCATAGATATTGATGGATATTTTCACTGCATCATACTAGGTACATTAAATAGTGATTTGTCTCATTGGTAATGCTAAATTGACCACTTTATTAAGGTGCTGTCTGCTCAGTCTTCATTGTAAAGGTACCTTCTTTTTGCAATTGGTGTGGAATCTGGTGGTGGTCTTTGAGACTTTTAAATTTCCTTTTCCCAGCATTTTTTTTAAATAATTATTTTATTTAACTTTATTTTAATTTGATCAGAGAGGGACAGAGTGAGACAGAGTAAGAGGGTAAGAGAGAGAAAGCAAGCCTCCAGGTCCAGGACCCAAACCATAGTCGGCCATGTGGGAGTCCAGCACCTTAACCACCACATCACCTGCTGGTCCCCTTTCCCCAACATCATTTTACTCAGTGATTTGCTATTGATCGTTTCCCTGAATCAGTTAACTGTGACCCTCCCTCTTCATCCCCAAATTAATTCACTTAAACATTAGTTTATACTTCCTGGTATTAAGCCTTAGTTGATCTAATATGTGATAACTAAGTAAGATACCACCAGTTTTAGAAAGCCTGAGAAGACGTTTGGGAAGTTAAATTCTTGGTGAGAGATGGGAAGTCACTCAGTTGAGCAGACATACATTAAGTACCTCAGTGTGCCAAGCACTGTACTTGTCTTTGAGGCAACAAAGAAGTATTTGAGGAGCTTGCTCATGAGAGAAATACAAAATGTTGAAAACATTAAAAATATTCAAAATCCTAATTAAAGATGTACCTTTTAGAAGCCAAAGAAGTTGATATATTGGAAAAGGCTGATGATGCATGGTTTGGATGTTAGTGCCATGGACGTGGACAGCCTGAAGTGATGACTTTACATTTCATGTCTCTTCTCTGATCATTTTTCTCTGAAGATATATTTTTCCTTACTGATCTGATCAGGCTATGATATTGTGGCACTCTTTATAGCAGACAGTTTTTAGGTTTTGTGTTTTAGTGTTATGGCTGGCAGGCAGGTGCAGTCGAAGCATATGCCTGTGGTCCTTGGGCAGCTGAGTGGTCCTTGTTTGTAAAGTGGTGAATTGTAGAAATAAGAAATAACTCAGTTCTAAGATGTTGATTATATATTTGACTCTGCTAGAATGACCTGGATGACCCTGAAAGAGGAATGATTTTTGTCTGTTCTGCCACTCATAAGACCAAGTCGATGTTCTTCTTTTTGGCCCAAACTGAGCAGGGAGATATCTTCAAGATTACTTTGGAGACAGATGAAGATATGGTAAGTAGGCATGGATGGAGGGGGAAAATTAAATTAAAAAAACCCAACTATTTGTTATGGTTCTAGTTTGTTTAAAAGCTTCCTTAGTTTAATCTTAATTTCAGTTTTTCTTTTCTTTTGAGAGGTTTTTGCCATAGAGTGTGTGTGTGCTTGCCAGAAAGAAAGAGACAGACAGGCAGTGAGAAATCACTCCCCGCCCCGGGGCGGGGATGGCCGTGCTGTAATGCCTTCTCCATTCTCATCTCAGGATCTTGAGCATGCACACACACATTGGTCCAGCGTGAGTCTCAGGATCTTGAGTGCACACACACATTGGTCCAGCGTGAGTTTGAGCCACCAGGTGTGGGACATGGGAGTCGAGTGACATAGCCATCACGCCAACTGCTGGTCCCATAATTTTTATTTATTTTATTTTTTTTGAGAGTTTTCGCTATAGGGCGCGTGCGCTCGCCAGACAGACAGAGAGACAGAAAGCGAGAAATCACCCCCCAGAGGGGATGGTCACGCTGCAATCCCTTCTCCTCCATTCTCCTCTCGGGATCTTGGGCACGCACACACATGCGACCGGCGTGAGTTTTAAGCCACCGGGTCCGGGACGCGAACCGTGGTCGACTATGTGGGAATCCAGCGACATAGCCATTACGCTAACTGCTGGTTCCCAGTCCATAATTTTTATTTTTAAAGCCAATTGTTTGTTTTAAAAACTGATTATTTGGAGGCCAGCAGGTAGCATGGTGGTTAAGGCACTGACTCTCATATGGCCCACCACAGAGTTTAAGCCCTGCACTTGGCAGCTTGAAAAACAAAATAGGCTCGTGTGCACGCGTGCCCAAAATCTTAAGAGGAAAATGATTGTGGTGTGGCCATTCCACTTTTGGGGAGGTGATTTCTCACTTTTTCGCTTTCTCTTTTGTACTTTATGGCAACATCTAGAAAGGGGAAAAAAAAAAGCTTGAGTATTTGTATATATAGTTATTACAGTTTTTCTCTGAGATGGACAGGCCAAGTAAAACTGACAAGTTAAATGGAAACTTAGAATGATTTAGAAAATGGTTGCCTTTGGGACCAATAGATGAATATAGGTTTTCTCTCTGGTTAATAAGACTTCTGATGCCTATATCTAATAGTAGGAGACTGGGTAATGCCACATCCAGTCATTATTTTCAAGTGATTAGTGGTCTGAATAAGAAGGGAAAGCTCAATCTCGCTTTCTCTCTAAGAAGAGAATCGTCTATTGAAAACTGCTGATACATGTAATCTCTTTTTTTCCTCCAGTGGAGAAGCTCTTTGAACCTACTGGGTGCTTTCTTAGATAGCTATTTATTTTATTTTTAATTTTTAAAAAAGGTTTATTTAACTTTATTTATTTATTTATTTTAATTTCGACCAGAGAGGGACAGAGTGAGAGAGAGAGAGAAAGTGAGAAAGCAAGCTTCCAGGTCTGTGACTTGAACTGCGGTCAGGTCAGCCCTGTGGGAGTCCAGGACCCTCAACCATTATGCCACTTGCTGGCCCCTGGATAGCTGTTGTGGTAGGATTATGCCATTTGCTGGCCCCTGGATAGCTGTTGTGGTAGGAAGTGGTAGTTTTATTTTATTTTTAAAATTGTTTTTATTGCTTTTTACAGATTTTTGTTATAGGGTGCATATGCTCATGAGAGAGAAAGTGAGAAATAACCCCTCAGGGCCACACTACACACCCTTTTTCTCCATTTTCCTCTCGGGATTTTGGACATGCACGCACACATGCCCAGTGAGTTTAAGCTACTGGGTCTGGGGCTCAAACCGTAGTCAACCATGTCAGAGTCCAGTGATGTAACCATTACACCATCTGTTGGTCCGGGTAGTTTTATTATTTTCTTTTTGTAAAGGTCAAGTTATTATTATTATTTTTTTAAGAGAGATTTTTGCTGTAGTGAGAATGCACTCACTGGAGAGACTGAGTGACAGAAAGCGAGAATCACCCCCTTCTCCTCCCCCCCTCCCCCGCCCTGCCCAGGGAGAATGGCCACACCCCAGGGCCTTCTCCTACCTTCCCCTCTTGGTAACTTGGGTGCGCACACATGTGCCCAGCATTAGTTTTAAGTCACCCGACCCTGGATTCAAACTACAGTCGACGATGAGTTCAGCAACATAACCATTATGCCTTCTGCTGGTCCCAGTAGTAATTATTTCTAGCTCTTATGGGCCAGGTAGTCTGTTTCAACTACGTAACTGCCATTATAGTATAGGAGATAGGGGAATGGATGGCCACAGCTGCCCTGTGACCTGTAGTTTGCTAACCTCTGGTTTAGATACTGAGGTTTCTTCTGCTCTCAGCTTATGCCGTCTTACCATAACAACACTGGGCTCTGCCTTCTGTGGCTCAGTAGCTTCACTTGGTTCTATATTGGACTCTCTTTTTCTTTTTAATCCAGGTTACTGAGATCCGGCTCAAGTATTTTGATACTGTGCCTGTTGCTGCTGCCATGTGTGTGCTTAAAACAGGTTTCCTGTTCGTAGCATCAGAATTTGGAAACCAGTGAGTAATGAGTAAACCTTTTGTTATTAGTTCACTCTGGTCACTATAAAAATGAGCAGGAGTGATGTGTATCTTTTCCCTTGTCTGACATGATTTTCAAGCCACCAGGCCCAGAACTTGAACTGCAGTTGCCCATGTGAGAATCATATGGCAACGTAACCACTAGGCCATCTGCTGACCCCAGAATATTGTCTTTTGTAAAGAAGTTGTGTCTTTCTTTTCTTTTTAAATTATCTTCCTTAACTTCAGTGGTTTCAGTCAGTACCTCTGGGTGTTTCTGAAAATATCCTTAGAAGTGTTCTCTCTCCTGAACTTTCTCCTAGATTTCTTTCACCGAACTACTTACCTGGTAGAGATGTTGGGCAAACCCTTCACTGCACAAATCTAAAGTGAACCCTGTAGATACTTGGGCCTGCCTGCTCGTTTCACCAGTCCTCCCAACTTCAGTATTGCTCTTATTAGATGCATTTTAGCAATTGAAGTATAAAATGGCACTTTTTTGGTCCTCCATCACTTTCAGTTCTACTTTTACTTCTATATTTCTTTGTTGTGTTAATCTGAATTAATTCATAAGTTTTCTTACTTCACTTCCTTGCCTTCCCTGCAGAACTCTCCCTTTGTGGTCATCTCACCAAGCAGACAAAAATGAAATTATTTTCCCTGTCCCTATGATGTAATCTTTAGTGGCTTTTTGTTGCCAAATGGAAGAAATCCAAACTCCAGCCTTGAATTTAAGACCGATATCTAAGCTCCAAATAGCTCTAGCATTGTGTTGGTTTTAAACATGATCTCTGGGAAGTGTATTGTAGTTAAAAAGTTTCTCTCTCTTTTCAGTTACTTATACCAAATTGCACATCTTGGAGATGATGATGAAGAACCCGAATTTTCATCTGCCATGCCCCTGGAAGAGGGAGACACCTTCTTCTTCCAGCCAAGACCACTCAAAAACCTTGTGCTGGTGGATGAGTTGGATAGTCTCTCTCCAATCCTGTTTTGCCAGGTGAGGGCCTTTCCAGGCACCGTCACAGTGAACAGTGCCCATCAGCTGCTTTTCACGGAAAGGCTGATATTTTCCCCTAGTTAAATTAAGGTCTGATCGGAAACAGATTTGTTAGTATGTCTGTGAAATTGCCTGAGCACAAAGGTAGAGCAGTTAGAGGGACAAATTTGGGAACTAAAAACATAATAAAATCTTTGCACTTTCTAATTTTTTTTTTTCCTGGAGAGGTTTTTGCTACAGGGCACGTGTGCTCGCCAGACAGACAGAGAGAGACAGAAAACAAGAAGTCACCCCCCACGGGGATGGCCACGCCGCAATCCCTTCTCCTCCATTCTCCTCTTGGGATCTTGGGCACGCACGCACACGCGTCCAGCGTGAGTTTTAAGCCACTGGGTCCTGGACTCGAACCACGGTCGACTACATGGCAGTGCAGCAACATAGCCATTATGCTAACTGCTGGCCCCTGCACTTTTTCATTGGTAAAATTCGTATTTAATGTAAAAATTCAGACCTATGAAAGGTGAAAAATAAAAATCCTCCCCTGAGTCTTCTCAGCCTTGAGCTCCTCTGAGGCTGTTGCTGATAACAACTTCTTGTGATTGCTTCCAGTCATTTTCTCTGCACCTACGATTACACACTTGCGTGCATTGTATCTTTTTTCTTTTGAAAGTGAATGAGTTCATATACTAAGAGTATTCTGAACTTGATCTTTTATCAATCGATAATATGTATTGCACTGTTTTTCGTGTTTAGCACAGTTTGTCTTTAAAATAACTTCAGAGACACTGGGATCAGTCAGTAACAGGATGTTTTTAATCTCATCCTCAAGGAGGAACCTGAAATGGCCCAGGGTGGAGATTATGTCTCCCACTACTAGCCCTCTATTTGAGCAGCTAGAAATTTTACCATGTCCTTGCATCCGGAATTACTGGGGTTTGAGTGACTATTAGGGGTCACTCTGTCTAGGTAATCACAGTTTGGGTGTGAGAGAGAGGCTTGCTTACTGTGTAGTGGGGACAGCCCAGCATTCTTGTACTCGTCTTGGTATATTAAGCAGTATGAAATTAACTACTTATGTTCTTGTTGAAAAACAGTCTTGTTGGTAAAAACATAAGTAATTTCTAATTTGAATGTTAGTGATTCTTTT